GAAACTCGGTCCTCATCTTCTCTATCTTTGTCTATTGTCAGACTACTGTTCATTGTGTGTGGGAGTACGATGCATGGCATGTACACACTTGCGTGAGATGGTCCCCAGGACCCATGCACACACACAAAAAAAGGAGAAATATCAGCTCATTCGAGGATCAGGCTTCTCGGCAGGCCTAAGGGGCCCTTACTGCAGATGTGTCTGCCCGAAGTGAAGGCGGGCCTGGCAGAGCACAAAGGCCCTCGCTGTCAATTTCGCATTACGGGGTTCAGGCAGTTGTGTCGCGCCAGTTGGTTGAGGGAACCCAGGACCCGTGCTGCAAATACTTTCCTCGGCCTTCCAGGCCTTTCTGGAAATGCAGGCCCTGGGCCACAATCGCAGCAACATACATGGGCAGTTGGAGGCGTAACTGAACGAGGCCCAGCCGCAGCAGCAGAGGCCCAGCCTCCTGGGGCCTATCGGAAGCTTCTGGGCGCAGGCCCAGCCCAGCCAGGCCGCAGGCCAGGCCAGACTCTTTCCATATAGGAAAGATCTCGCTGCCTGGCGGGGGATGCAGGCACTTGCTGGCTGACGGCAGCGCTGCTGGAGCAATCGCTCGCTTGCTGGCTGCTAGCGCTGGAGCCAGGTGCTGCGCACTTGCGGTCGCGTACGGACACAGGGCGCTGCTGAGGGCAGCGCCATAGCCCAGCCTCCATAGAGGGCTTGGTTATACAGCAGGGCGCAGGTGTGGTCTTCGGGTAATACAGAGGGAAGCATTGGTGTATTATTGGTGTAACGCTGCTCTCTGGACACAGTGAGACTATCCGGCTTTCAATGTGATTGTGCTTTCTGGATTCTGTCATCTCGCTTTGCTCATTTTCCTTGCACTCAGCTCCACCTAACTCATAACTAACTCATGCCGGAGAAAGCCCAACTCGGTGAGAAGTTGAGAACAGCCATGGAGAAATAGCAGCTCAACTCCAAGCCTGCTGCCTCCCAACCACTTTTTGTTTCTAGTTTCAAATTTTCACTCATCTTCTACCAGTGGAGTTCGAACTCGCTTCTGTATTTCAATAGCTCAGGGGTGTTTTTACCAACTGAGGTAGGCCAGTTGGTAGCTCAGCTCCAACTCTATGGTCAACTGTAAATGGAAATAAATGCCGAAAATGGAACGGCAGCACTGGGCTCCTTGGAAAATGCAAGGACTAAAGGGGGGAAAAATGTCAACAAAAAAAAAAAAGAGAGAGAATGGACTTCAATCAAATAATACCAATGGCCTAGCTCTCAATTGGTACAACCATGAACTTTTGAAATACAGACCTGAGCTTGAATTTCCAAACGAGTCGGAGGAGCGAAGACAACTTGGAATTCACCTGAGGCCGGTCGGTTAGGGCCAGAAGCATTACGCTAGAAGTCAGAAAGGAATGCCACTGGATCTAGAAAATGAGAGTGTAGGAATTGTGGTTTTTGGTACCGATATGACTGCCATTAAACCACTAGCATAGCATAGTACACCCGAGCGCGGCGGGCGGCGGACTTGAAAGTTGCACGCCAAGCTTTGCCAAACTGCCAGCGCTGTACTTTTTTCCTTTTTTGGCTGGCTCCATAGGCCATTGCGGTCCAGTAGTCCCGAGCCTCCGGAATTTTAGGAGCCATGAGTTTTTTTTTTAAGTTGGCTGGGGCCGTGTACTGGCGGTGTAAACCATCGGTACACCCGGGCCTGGCGGCCTTCCACTGCGTGCAAAAGCTTTGCCAATCCGCCAGGGGTGCACTTCTTTTCTTTTTGTGGCTGGTGCCGCCAGCCATTGTGGTCTGGTAGCCCTGAGCCTCCAAATTTTCGTAGGCAATGAAAGATTTCTCCACAAGGCTGGGGATGTGTACTCGCAATTAAAAGAAAAAGGAGATAGTGTCAAATGTAATGGATCCATTGTAGGCGTTCCTGTAGGAAGATCTATGTGGGGCATTCAAAACTCAATTTCGAAAGCTCGTGGCCAAAAAGCAGACTCCCCAACCCACGCGTGCCTGCCCGCCCGCCCGACCACGCACACACACACACACACACACACACACACACACACACACACACACACACACACACACCTGATGAGTCAGTGAAAGTCCAATGAAACAGTCTGGCACAGTCATGC